ACACACACAAAGATCTACATCAGTACATACATGTACAGTGTTTCACACACACACACAAAGATCTACATCAGTACATACATGTGCAGTGTTTCACACACACAAAGATCTACACCAACACATACATGTGCAGTGTTTCACATACACAAAGATCTACACCAATACATACATGTGCAGTGTTTTACATACACAAAAATCTACATCAGTACATACATGTGCAGTGTTTTTTCTACGTCAAAGGGAGGAGAGAATCTAATGCAATTAGAGCGCGCAGGCTAAAGAATATTTTTTAACCGTTAAAGACAATTCAGCCAAATAACCATGACAACTCTATGATTTATACTTTAACCACCTGTTCTCGCTTTAATTGTGCAGGATACAGTAAAAACGTTTACGAGGTCATATACTTTACAAAATATTGGCAAACACACACGCACACACATGAAGCATTTTGCAGAAGTGCTTGACATGAAGTTTTCTTAACGCTTATTCTGTAGAATGGATAAAAAGATATTCTCTGATTATTTTAGATTTGACAATTAATATATCATGCTCCGAAAGACGCCATGTATAATATATGGGTTGACTACTTTAAAGAAATGATGATGATGATATTTTGGTTTCTCGTGTCCTCGTATAATCCTTCTCGTAAATTCTTATTCTAAAGTAAATGATGTTTGAAATCCCATGACTTTCACAAATATCTATCTAGAAAATTCCTTTTTGATAAAACGTAACACACCCATTACTCCAGCTATTTTCAATGTGCTCAACTTGAAGGTTCACTTTAATGTGTTTTTGACCAGTTCTTTTCTAAAAAAAAAGAAAAAGGCAGAACATTAACTTTGATCTATTTTAGTGTTATTTGGCTTCACGGCAAGCTGGACATTAACTTTGGTTCATCTAAGCGCAACTAGTTCCTCGTCTTTTTGGAACAATTGCTTTCATTGATTTTAGAGTGTATATTCGTCTCAACAAGATACGGAGATCAAGCACGTGCTCAAAATGATGAATTATTTCATGCATTCAAATATAGATCTATTTTCTACAGTTACCTGAACACAACATACTTTAAAGTCGTTGTCACAAAAGCAACATAATTAATTTGCCAATGGCTAATAATTTGCATCATAAATGCTAACATAGAGCTAAAATCTTTGAAGCTCTTTGATTAGAAGGAGATTATTAATGAACAAATGACACGATCTCGCTATGACAATATTTTTCAACGAAGAAATAGTGCGCTTTGAGTTGCTCCATTTCATATTTTGCTACATATTGTAAAATTCATTCCGTACAATTATCCACGATATGTAAAGTATGCAACGAATGATTTAACACTGTATTTGGTATGCAGTGTACTACTTAAAAGCAATTAACATTCCTCTTGCGTTAGTTTCTAACGTTTGCATTTATTTATTCATACGTATGACTACGACTAACATTATGCGTTTCGCAAATTTGTCAGCGTATATCATGAAATTTCTGCATCAAAGAGAAAGCAAATTTCCTGTTAATAAAGCTTTGTTAATCGTTGAAAATACAGAATTAGGTATATAGTCTATTTTATATATCTAAACTTTACCTTTATGGATCTCAATATTAATGTTAAACGGTAATCGTACGAATACTTTAATATCGAGTTTAATATTCGAATGAATGTAACGAAATTTGGGATTGACATAAAGGTTAACTTACTCTCTGTATGATACGAGAACCTAACACGAAAGATGAACAAGTATTCCGAAAATGTTGATGTGTTGGAAGGAAGTTTACGTGTTCACGAATAAAGACAGAGCAAGATAAAACTGTCATTGCTTTTTATGGCAGATAGACGAATCCTCGAGAACATCGTTATTGTAGTTTCAGTTGATAAAATTTAGTATGAATGAGGAAGGTTTGTTTGTTTGTTGAATTTCGCGCAAAGACACTCGAGGGCTATCTGCGTTAGCTGTTCCTAATTTAGAAGTGATATAACTAGAGAGAAGGCAGGTAGGTAGTCAACACCACCCACTGCAAACTCTTGGGCTATTCTTTTACCAACGAATAGTGGGATTGATCGAAATATTATAACGCTCTATGGCTGAAAGGACGAAAATGTTCAGTGGTGAGATTCGAACCCGCGACCCAGTAAGGAAGAAAACGCATAACAGAAAAACCTTATTTTAATAAGAATTACAAAACAGCCAATTGGTGTTTTCAAAGCTTCACAGCAATGTTAGGAATGTGATTGGTTTTTATGTATCGTTTTTCAAACAATTTCTATCGGAGAAAATATACAATACAATAAACCATCAACATGACTGTTTCCTAAATAAAAGAATGTGATATTTTTCTGCAATAATTTACTTACCACTTAAGAGTATTTGATGAAATTAATTATAGTTTTACGTTGTAAAATGAGATAGACCTAACATAGAAATAATGTATCGACCTCTAAGATAACGATTCGGGAGACATTCTACTTTGGTACTAGTATAATATTAAAAGGCGCGTTTAAAATAGGAGGTTAAAGTAAACAAGTATTATGCTTTTATTTGAGGCATGCCATGTTAATAATAAATGTCCTGGAATCGGTTTCAATTATCTGTTAAAGGTCTGTTCAGTACATCATTTGAACTTTAATATCTCAATTTTCGGGCCAGTGTGATCTAGTGGTGAGCAGGCTCTGGCTTCGAACATTCATGGTTCTCGACTCGTTACTCCAGAAATGCGCTTCGCCTTTTGAGGCTGTGGGTACACTTTAAGAATGACGGTTAAATCCCACTATTCGATAACACAAGAATAGCAGGACGGTGAAATCTCTATTCGATACCACAAGAGTAGCATGACGGTTAAGTCCCACTATTCGATAACACAAGAGTAGCATCACGGTTAAGTCCCACTATTCGATACCACAAGAGTAGCATGACGGTTAAGTCTCTCTATTCGATAACACAAGAACAGTATGACGGTTAAGTCCCATTATTCGATACCACAAGAGTAGCATCACGGTTAAGTCCCACTATTCGATCATACAAGAATAGCATCATGGTTAAATCCCACTATTCGATAATACAAGGGTAGAATTACAGTTAAATCACACTATTCAATAACACAAGAGTAGCATGACGGTCAAATCTCACTACTCGATAACACTAGAGTAGTCCAGTCCAGCGGTGGATCCTGTTGGCTAGCTGTAAGAAATGGAGAGAAAAAGCAACAACAAATTTTAACTATGACGTTTTGTTTTCATGTAGGTGTCGGTAGAGGCTTGATTCCATATTTAAGAAGTATATACTATTAGTTATTAATTAACCTTTTATTTATTTTTTGATAAACAGGTAGACGATATAAATTATATTAAAGTTGAACGATAAACGTTTCTCAATTAATTGTTATAGGTAACAGATTCTTACTTAATCGGTCTTGATATAAAACAGCACATTAACTTTACTTTTGAAGGTGGCCTGGATAAAGGTGGAAGACAAAGTTATTCTTTCCATTTATAAAAATGTAATAACGAGGAACTACAGGGTCAGCCTAACGCATAGCGACAACAAACATTTTGTGCTGCACATTGCAAATATTCAAGAATCGGATCGGGGTGGATACATGTGTCAGGTCAATACTACACCAATGATGAGTCAGACGGGATATCTTGATGTTCAGAGTAAGTGCATTCCAAATCAACCTCTGTGTAACTTCATACTATTTTAGATTAGGGAGCTTTCCACGTGTTTTTAAACTAATTATAAAAATACTTCGTTTGAAGTCGATAACTGTTTGCTGTTGATATATCTTGAGGATACCGATGTTTCGAAATGATTTTTTTTAATCCCGTCTTCTTTTCTTCTATATTCTTGACTTCATAGCTCAAACATACAATTGATTTACATATTCTTGACGTGTTATCCTCACTACCAATAATGGTTAAACTGTACATTAATATTTAGTTGTTTCACGAAGTCCAAGCCTGAAGTTCATAAAAATGACATTTTTAATTGTTTTTTACATGTCACAAATCATTGCAGAGAGCTTTTTTTTTACTACTAGAACTCATTAGCCATAAACTGGACTTGGGGTTGCCAATATTGTACCTGAAATGCTAGTATAAATAGAAGTAAAACTTACATCAGATTGATTAAACTTTATGCAAGTATCAGTTTTAAAAAATATTGCTATTGAAATTTCAGAATGGTAGATAAATACTTATAAAAGACTAAACATTGTTTGCGAGGTTACGACGTGTAAGAGTGGATGATCAGCACTTGAGTAACATTTATAAATCAAATACATATTTTAACTGCAACGTTTCATATTTATACCATTTAAAGTTTATTAAAACCGTCAACAGCACCCAATTAAAAGCAATCTACATATTACACGTTTCGACACCTTCTACGTCGTCTCTAAAACTATGAATTAAGACGACGTAGAAAGCGTAGAAACGTGTAATATGTAACGTTTTTAAGTAGGAGCCGTTGATAGCTTTAATAAACCTTTAGCTACGTAAATATGAAACGTTGCAATATAAAACATTAGCTGTTATGGTTAATTATAAACGATGACCTAACATAAAATCCATAATAAACTCAATAACAAAAGACATCTTAAGTTAAATATTAATATTCCATTATAAGCAATAGTCTAGATTAAAATTTATAACAAGCTGACCAACAATGTAGTATTAATCATCACCAGCGCGGTTTAATGTTTCATTGTAATCGATGGCCTTCTTTAGAATTTGTAATTACAAAACCACACAAAAATATAAATCCTCTTCAAACGAATGTGATGTTCCGTCATTAAATACGATCTAGATTAAAATCTGAAATAAACTAATTAGCAGTATAATGTCAGACATCCTCAGTCCAACATGAAATTTCATTATAAACGAAGGTCTTATTTAAATTGAGTAATGATTAGAGCAATAATATAATATTAATTCTCTTCACTTAAATACGACGTTTTAAAGGTTTAATTTCTTAATATACTTTCCGTTAATGAAATATTTCATATTAGACTACGGAAGAAAATGTTTGTTTTTCACCATATAGATATTTGAAACTTGACTACTTTGCTTGGTTAGCTTTATTCTGTAAAACTAATTTTATGCAGGAATTTCTTGTCACGTGAAAATTTTCAGATAGGATTAATTAACATAAGGATAGAGCCACATAAGTAAATAAAATTACTGCTACCGAAGGCTATTTCAAGCAAGATGAAAAAGAGAGAGAGAGAGAGAGATGTTTCTGGTGTTCGTATTTACTAATGTAGATTGGATTTACTAACTGGGAGCTAATGTAAAACGGTGATACTGGGTATCTTTGCTATCGCTCGAGACTAACCTGGGCAACAGGGAACGACATATAGTCGTTTCTTACATCTCCACATACTATTACAGAGTAAAGAAGGATCAGGCTCATTAATCAACAATGAACCATTCCGATGTTCCTAATGTTTTTAACTACCATCCTGATCAACATGGAACTAAAAGGGTGATAAGAGTCTCTTATTCATCACTCGAGAAAATACTTATTTTAGCCAACAGGGAACAGTTTAACTATGTGTTTTTAACATGCTCACGTATTAACTGGGTCTAGGTTAATTGATAAAAGAAACGGTATGATGTCTCTACTGTTTTCACAAAAAGTGAGATGTATCTCTAACATCTTTATGTACTATTGGAGATTAGGTTAATCAACGGGGATTGAGATATGTGTAGATTAACTGATAAAGGAAACGGTATGATGTCTACTGTTTTTACAAAGAACGAGATGGAAATATGTATCCCTAACATCTTTATGTACTACTGGATATTGGGTTAATCAACGGGTATTGAGATATGTGAGATATATTTTCACGTAATAGTGGAGACGAGGTTAACCAACAGAGGTCGAGATATGCTAATATTTTCACGTACTATTGCAGACTTTGGTAACCAATGCTAATCGAGATATGTGTTTTTAATATATTTGCGTACTATTGGAGACTAGGTTAACTAACAGAGATCGAGATAAGTGTTTTTAACATTTTAACGTACTATTGGAGACTCGGTTAACCAACGGAGATCGAGATAAGTGTTTTTATCATTTTAACGTACTATTGCAGACTTTGGTAACCAATGCTAATCGAGATATGTGTTTTTAATATATTTGCGTACTATTAGAGACTAGGTTAACTAACAGAGATCTAGATAAGTGTTTTTAACATTTTAACGTACTATTGGAGACTCGGTTAACCAACGGAGATAGAGATAAGTGTTTTAACATTTTAACGTACTATTGGAGACTCGGTTAATCAACGGAGATCGAAATAAGTGTTTTTAATATTTTAACGTACTATTGGAGACAGGGTTAACCAAAGGAGATCTAGATAAGTGTTTTTAACATTTTAACATACTATTGGAGACTCAGTTGACCAACGAAGATCGAAATAAGTGTTTTTAATACTTTAAAGTACTATTGGAGACAGGATTAACCAAAGGAGATCTAGATAAGTGTTTTTAACATTTTAACGTACTATTAGAGACTAGGTTAACTAACAGAGATCGAGATAAGTGTTTTTAATGTTTTCACGTACTAGTGGAGACAGGGTTAACCAAAGGAGATCGAGATAAGTGTTTTTAATGTTTTCACGAACTATTGGAGACTAGGTTAACCAACGGGAATCGGGATATGTGTTTCTAAAATGTTCACGTACTACTGAAGACTAGTTTAATCAACGAATATGTGTTTTTAATACTTTCACGTACTACTGAAGACAAATAGACGGAGATCAATGTATTTTTCTTTATCATTATTTGTTAAAGAAGTCTAACTTAACCAAAGGGAAAGAGATGGATGTTTCTAATGTTTTTTGTTTACTACTTGAGATAATTCACTAAAAGAAAGTACAACAGGTGTTTCTAATATCTTCACATACTGCTGGAGACTATGGCTTAACCAACAATCAGGGAAGTAAAGGAGCGAAGTCGAGGGTACTTCTTGTCATTTGAGGTTAAGTTAACTAAATGTAAATGATATATAATATATATATATAAAAGCCAAAGGTCTTTTGGTAACACTCTGTTTGTCTGTGTCGCTTAGCAACAAAACTAATATATATATATATATATATATACATTAGACTTGAATTTGAAAACGCACAAAACTATTTCAGCTGTATAGGTCACATCAGCTTACAGGGGCAAATACTATCTTAACTGTATAGGTCACACTAGCTTACAGGGGCAAAAACTGTCTTAACTGTACAGGTCACATCATCTTTGTAGATTAACGAAACCCTCCACTTACCACAGAGCCACTTGAATAAGCTAACTTCGTGAAATAGATAAATCGGGAATACTTCAACAATTTCGACTGGGACGTCATGCTTCAAGGCTTGGATGATAAGATTATGTTAGTTAGACCTTGGAATCCTACTGCCTAGAGTTGTTTACTCCGGATAACTGGTCTAATATATATAAAAGTCAGTTGTCGATTTTTGTATGTGTAACGCTCATATTATGAGTCATTTAAAATTTAAGTTGCACCATTCTTGTTGATTTTTTTAGAGTGTACTTGAAAATTGTTTTTATTTTCTCAATGTGTGAATAATGTTTCTTTTATGATGAAGGGGGAAGTTTGTTGAAGACAGTTTGCAGAAGGAAGAGCAGGTTTTTTTTACAGAAATTCCAATCCATCATTTGTTGACTAGTCGGGCAACATTAGTGTGTTTATAACGTCTTCACATATTTATGGAGACTAGCATAATCAACAAACCACGAGATGAATAGTACTACACTTCCTTTTTCGATGTTACCATTAAAGACTAATTTCACCAACAGGCAAACGAAAAGAGGTGTTTCTAAAATAGAAGTTCTGCAGTAGACTAGGTTAACCATCAAGGAGTGAAATGAATATGTTTAATATCTTACTACTAGTGTCTTTTGTATTACTTACCACTAACTTAAAAACTGGCTTGTAAGGTTGTTACTAGAGTATTCCTTATTAATCAAGACCAGCTTTACAAACAAGAACCTAAAAGAGTATTACTGGTGTATTTCGCATCATTTGAGGGTTCATGGTTCACGGCACGTTGCCACAAAAATACATTCCTTCATTTGTGTAGATGTGCGCGAATATTCTGACTCAAGACTAATTTAACAAAAAAAAAGGACGCATTTCGAAAGGTTTTAGCTACCATTAGAGACAAGCATATGTGGTAGGAAAGGGTCAGATTGCGTTCTTTGTCTTTACGTTGATTAGAAATTGGCTCAACCAGTGGTGAATTTGAAAGCAACATTAATGTGTCTAATTTGTTCCTTCGTGTTTTTAGATCAGTGTTTCCAAAAGTGAGAGTCGCGGCCCCCCTGGAGGCCGTGAAGCTTCATGTGGGGGCCGCCAAAAAATAGACAGAAAACAAAAATGCTAATTTAATTTTAATTTGAAATAAACAATAAGCCGTTAAAAATATGTTGAATTAATTAAATGATACAGTATATCAAAAGGAGATGTTATTGTTTTTACTACGACACTGTTTTTCAATCACTATGCTAATGTAATGGAGGTGGACATTTTAAAATCACATTTTTAGGAATTTGTAAAGGTTGGGGGGGCCTCAAACTTTTTTATTCACATCAAGGGAGCTTTATACTAAAAAAGTTTGTGAACCACTGTTTTAGACGGCAGCGCGTTCTTTAAAAGGCAGAGTTTTATACAATCCCATTGACTGTCACCTTACTCGTCAAGTTATACTGTCTCAATAGCTAGTTATGCTCAATCTGTAATGATCAGAAAATGAAACGAACCCCGCTTATTAAACCAATCGTTTTACGACAACTAAACGTTTAGTGAATTTTTCTCGATACTCACCAGACTTTTGCAATGAGGACCCCGTAGACAGACGAATCTTTGAAAGTGTGTAATGTTTCCAGTTGCTAATTTGTTCGTAAAATAGGCTAATAAAAATTACAACGCTATGCTTTTATCTTGAATAATGAAGAACAGCATTACTGTAATGAACAATTAAGAGCATAATTGTAACGGGTTTAATTTTGTTTTTCGTTTTTTTATTTTGGTCAGAATTAAATAGAATATTGCTGTTCTGGATATTAATTGTTTATAGTGTCATGATATTTTCGAAGTTCAGTAAACTACCATTTCATTTAGAAATATCCAGTAACCTCTCTTTAAACGTACATCTAATAATACATTACATATAGACCTAACATCTGTGATAGAAATCACGTAAATTGTAAATGTTTTATTTCCACATTCCTCTTAGTTTAGCCACTATGGATTCAAATAAAGAAGCGTGTAAAAATAGTAGTTCAAATCGATTTTTTGTCTCACTCGAGTCACTGCCCAAGAGGCCTTTCGTTCAATATCAGTACTTGTCAGCTAGGCTGATGATGAGAGACAGATTCTCTGAAAAGCTATTTATATATATATATATACTGTATAATACTTTAAAAGTTATTGTTAAAACGACTATTAGTTTCTAATTCTCCTCCAGCTTTCGGCATTTAAACCGTAACTTTTGTATTATATTTCGTATTTTTACATGGGTGTTTGATTGAATCACTAATCCCTTGTTTAGCACATTTGAGAGATATAACTACTACGTTTTGTTTTCATAGCACCACCAACGATAGTCTCTCTCGAGACCGACTCCAATAAAACAGTTCGAGAGGGTGTTAACATCACATTACGTTGCAGAGCTGACGGCCAACCCACTCCAAACATTACCTGGCGGCGAGAAGACGCAGGACGCATACCCTTGATAACAGAGACTGGCAAAAGAATTTCAGGTTTCAGTTTTATTTTTCTATGAAAATAATAATCTACAGTTCCACGTGTAATGTATTATGTTAGAAAACCTGTACATCATCCCTATATATTTTGTGATTGTGATATGATACTATTTATACAAATATAATTTGATTTATAAGAGACAATGTACCAGAGTCACAGACAAACATATAGTTATATATGATGTTAAGGTTGTTGCATTCATTTTTATTATCATTAATAGATAAGTAGATATAGTAGAATAGTATATATTGTTAAGAATATTAAAATAATAATTGGAATTAAATTTTTCCTACCCCGTTGAGACGGTAGCTTTCTAGAATGTCTACCAGAGAGAAGACTGTTAATGACTGATAAAAAAATTAAGCCACAATAGGAACATTTTTGACAAACAAAAGAAATGATTGATAAACAGTGTGTTTAGCAATTGCTAACGTTCCTATAACGTATTATCTTTTTATTTGAATGTATACAAATGTACAGCTTTTATAATTTTGTAGACGAAAACGGTTTCCATAAACGGTATATAAACACGTGGGTAATTTAATGGTTAAATGTAAACGATATACAAAAATGTAGGTAAATTGATGGTTAAAGGTAAATGGTATACAAACAAGTAGGTAATTTAATAGATAAAAGTAAACGCTATACAAACACGTAAGTAATTTGATGGTTAAAAGTAAACAGTATACAAACAACTAGGTAATTTGATGGTTAAAAGTAAACGGTATATAAACATGTAGGTAATTTAATGTTTAAAGGTAAATGATATACAAACACGTAGGTAATTTGAATGTTAAATGCAAACGGTATTCAAACATATAGATAATTTGATGTTTAATGGTAAACGGTATACAAACATGTAGGTAATTTGATAGTTAAAGTAAACGGTATATAAACACGTAGGTATTTTGATGTTTATATGCAAACGATATACAAACATCTAGTTAATATGATGATTCAAGGTAAATGGTATAGAAACAAGTTGGTAATTTTATGGTTAAAGGTAAATGGTATAGAAACAAGTAGGTAATTTTATGGTTAAAGGTAAATGGTATACAAATATGTAGGTAATTTTATGGTTAAAAGTAAACGGTATTCAAACATGTAGGTAATTTAAGCCCCCAGTGACACAGCGGTATGTCTGCGAACTTAGAACGCTAGAAACCGGGTTTCGATATCCGTGGTGGGCAGAGCAAAGATAGGCCATTGCGCAGGTTTGTGCTTAACTTCAAACAAAGAGGTAATTTAATGGTGAAAGATAAACAGTATTCAAACATGTTGGTAATTTGATAGTTTAAGATAAATGATATTCGAACACGCAGATAAAATTGAGGGATAACGATATATATAAACAAGTAGGTAGTTTAAGAGTTAAAGAGAGTGTTTTTACAACTACAGATAAGCTGGACAACTAGCGTCACTATACTTATTTATACCAAATGCAGTTATTTTCGCATTTTAAAACAATGACAAATCGTGTTTGTTTGTTTTTTTTCACTGTTTCGTGATCATTAGTATTTTGGTGAGATAACCAATTAAGTTCTAGTGTTTTAACACCAAATTTTCAACGCTGATAAATTATTCTGAAATAAAACTTCATTAAATGAGAACCTCTTCCATGGCTCAGATGTTGTACTTGTTACTTATTTTTTCTTCTTCTTAATATACACATAAAATATGCATTGTAAATATCACTCTTTTTATTTCGAGATCCGGCATTTTGGATTTGAGAAATAATCCTATTAAAGCAATGCAGTGTTTTAACCATATAACTTAAATACATTATAGAACTAACAACAGAATGAAAAAAAATCTAAACATTGCCTGGCTTTTTTTTTTCTTTTTAGCTTGAAATTCTGTTGGTTTCAGTAACCCTTCTAACTACGACTCGTACAAACATAATCACAAAAGTCGTGGTGCTTTGAACCTCCAGGGTTTAAGTGTGGAAATATTTTATTTGAATGAATAGGCGTAGGTATGGTCCAAACTAAGGAGATTAACATATTTTAAGTTCTGCACCCTTAATCAAATGCATGAAAAATAATGCAGTGGTTCAATATTCCATCGAAAATCATCTGTTTCATATGGAATTATTTTAAGGTTAACAAATAAACCTGAAAATATAAAGAAGCTAGTTTTTTTTTCTAATTAATCGTTTTAGGATTTTTAGGTGTAATCCAACTTGACAACTACAAGGTAACAAAGTACTGTCACCGACGGACATGCTATTAAACGAAGTATTGTTTACTCACAAATCTATCCACTCAAACTTGAAAACAAAATAACAATGAGGGCTTACTACAACAAACCATCTCATCGATTAACTTGTTTTACTAAAGATAATATCTTACAGGAGTATTTTAAGTCTACATCTTAATCTTCAGTATATCATAGACAATCTGTCAATCTGCCCCTCTTAAGCACCTGGACCTTATTATCTTGAAGATGTAGTTTAGTATTTCATGTGAAAACTATTAATCCACTGATACTTTAAACATGTAAGAAAATTTAGAAATGTAAACATTTGAAAATTTTTTCGAAACCTTCACAGTTCAGAGGTCAGGATGTGTGCGTGTACGTAATTGTTTTACTAGACCAGACTCTTAGGTCAGGATTGTGAGTGTACGTAATTGTTTTACTAGACCAGACTCTTAAGTCAGGATGTGTGAGTGTACGTAATTGTTTTACTAGACCAGACTCTTAAGTCAGGATGTGTGCGTGTACGTAACTGGTCTAGTAAAACAGTTACGTACACGCACACATCCTGACCTAAGAGTCTGGTTTAGTAAAACAATTACGTACACTCACACATCCTGACTTAAGAGTCTGGTCTAGTAAAACAATTACGTACACGCACATATCCTGACCTAAGAGTCTGGTCTAGTAAAACAGTTACGTACACGCACACATCCTGACCTAAGAGTATGGTCTAGTAAAACAATTACGTACACTCACACATCCTGACCTAAGAGTCTGGTCTAGTAAAACAGCAATTACGTACACGCACACATCCTGACCTAAGAGTGAGTCTGGTCTAGTAAAACAGTTACGTACACGCACACATCCTGACCTAAGAGACTGGTCTAGTAAAACTGGTCTAGTAAAACAATTACGTACACGCACACATCCTGACCTAAACTCTTAGGTCAGGATGTGTGCGTATGCGTAATTGTTTTACTAGACCAGACTCTTAGGTCAGAATATGTGCGTGTACATAATTGTTTTACTAGACCAGACTCTTAGGTCAGGATGTGTGCGTGTACGTAATTGTTTTACAAGACCAGAATCTTCAGTTGTTCGTTTCACAGTGATGGCAAGAAAGCTTGGATATAACATATACAAATAAAACCATCTTTAGTCTTATGAACGATAAAAATATCATATAAATCGAAAAAAAAATTGATTTCACTTTACATTGTGCCACTCAAGTAAGCTTGTCATATTATTTTTTTCTGGAGACACATACTAACTTACCAGCTCCTTAAATATGATATAATTAAGACCATTATATGGTGCACCAGTAAATTTAAAATTCAGCTTGATAAATGTAAGGATAAAGGCAATATTTTAAGTCCAGGAAAATCTTACTACAATTCTATATTGTACAAATTAACCTATTTTTTCACACTTTCTCGTATAATGTGTAAACATCTTAAATAAAGGTATAACTCTTGCAACTTAAGTTAATTTTTTTACCAAATTTATGGTTAAGAAGGCTTCATAAAGGATAAGGCGGTTACATTAAATTGCTGGTCTTTATATGAATTGACTCATTGTTTTTTGGTACAAGAGACATGTTGCTTATCATCATATATATATCTGTTGTTGTTTTTCGTCAACCTTCATACCTCCTGCTCTCTTCTGATAGACTTACTAACACCCACCTGCCATGTTGCTTATCCTCATATATATATATCTGTTGTTGTTTTTCGTCAACCTTCATATCGCCTTGTTCTTGTTTTTCGTCAACCTTCATATCGCCTTGTTTATGTTTTTCGTCAACCTTTATACCTCCTGTTCGCTTCTAATAGACTTACTAACACCCACCTGCAGGTACTTTTCTTGACTTAACGAAAACTCCCAATACTTCGTTGTGTTTTTCTAGAGACTAAAAGATAGAGAACTTAACTTCATTTCTATCAAACGTCACTGTATGTATGTGTATATTGTGGTTGGATGGCTTGTTCTTCCCACTTTATTCATTATAAACCATACCCTGACACGTGCATCTTTCCATCCACTTGTTTTGTTTTTTTTTCTTATGTTTGGCAGTTCCTACATTCTCGATACATCATTACATATTTTCTCAATTTTTAAGCATATACGTTCTCGTAAAATGAAGATATATAGGGCTTCCTTTAGTTACATATATCCTAATAAACTGGCTGAAATGTTTTGTAATATTTAGATCATAAGTTATCATCTACTTATTAAGTAAGTTGGTTCAAAAAAGGTGAAATAACTAAATATTTTGATACAACAATGTCTGTATAATTATCGGTTGTATCATTCACCAGTGATTACATTCATAACTGAAATGAACTATTTGCAAACCCTGATTTGTACACTATTGTAATATTTTACCGTAACATGGAATATCATGATTTACTAGTAACACCTTGATTCTCACAAAGCTACCAAATTTCGAAATATATCCTCATAGCTTGAATTTATTACATGAAACTCGTAATTCACATTTAGATAGAACAGCTGTAGTCATCACTAATTTGGAGCCTCCCAGTGGCACAGCGATATGTCTGCGGACTTATAACGCTAAAATCCGGGTTTCGATACTCGTGGTGGACAGAACACAGATAGCCCATTGTATAGCTTTGTGCTTAATTACAAACAAACAAACTAATTTGGAATCTGTTATGAAGAATAATAATTATGGCTTCTAAATTAGTGTTTTTGTTTTTAATTCAGACTTGGTGAAAAAGATTTAGAAAAATAGAGCATATACCTTTTTGAATGGAATGATTACTAGTTAGTCTGACTGAAGAAATCGTTAGTGCAAAACAAACTCACAAAATAAGGTATCAGGACGACAAATGTTGTGACTTTAGCCCCAGTATATTGCAAGCTCGTAAGCAATGGCACTTGGAATAATAGAAATAAAAGGCAGAGAAAAAAACAGTGTATCTTTCCTATGGGAATTTTTTTTGTTACGGCTTGAAGAAGTTCATTCTTTTATAGATTATCCAACAGGCGTCTTCGTGAAAAATGAAGTGTCAGGAGTTAACATAAAACACAGAATACCTTTTCATGTTTTTATGTTGTGAAGATCTTAGTTTTAACCCGTTACAATTTCAGTGCACTCATTCGAAGGAGAAGAGCTCCAGCTTCTACGGATTAGCCGGCTTCACATGGGTGCCTATCTTTGCATTGCATCCAATGGGATTCCACCATCCATAAGCCGTAGAATCCTTATAGATGTTGAATGTGAGTTACTTAACCACTTTATAAAAACACTTTATAAAGGTTCAAAACTTAAGAACATAAGATTTATCTTCAAGTTAGCTAGAAATATCGAGATCTGTAAACTGAAACCAAAACTTACTGGCTGTAAGTTTTAGTAGGTGATATCAACTCATAAAAAAGTACAATTTCAATAAAAGACGTGTTCTAATGTTGTTAGGATTAATAAAGTGCCATACTAAATATATATATATATATGTGTGTGTGTGTTACATTGGTAAGGTCTTAATGCACGTAAAATATCTAAACAGCTACACTATAAACATATTCCCTAGACATTGGTAAGGAACGATACTTGAGCTACCTTTATACTTCTATCTCTATAGGAAAAATCTTCGCGAAATCTGCTAGTTCAATAAAGATGATTAAATTATGAAAGTGTAAAACTTTATAAATTGGCACATAATACTCGCTTTTATCATCATAAGCCAATTAAATTATATAATTCTGTAAATATCACCTACAGATTATATCTAGTTACTTCTTTTTAATATTAACTGTAATGCCACAACAATGATCAAAAAGACCTCCAGATTTATGTATACTTGTAAATTGGCACCCCAGTGGCACAGCGGTATGTCTGCGGACTTACAACGCTAAAGACCGGCTTTCAATACCCGTGGTGGGCAGAGCACAGATATTCCATTGTGTAGCTTTGTGCTTAACTACAAACAAACTTGTAAATTATAGGCCTGAACTTGGGTAATTCTAACTGAACAAGTAGTAGCCTGAAAACGAAAATGTGCAACCGCTAAAATTTACAAAATTCGCAGAATGTGAGCTATATCTAATGTTTATCGTTTTTCGTAAAAAAAAGAAAAGAAATGCTTTTAATTTAAATATATTTATATTTATGGGCCAAGCACGGCTTATTGGTTAGCGTGCCGGACTGTAGATTTAAGGTTCCGTCTTTTGTGCTCTGTTACCATAGAAAAATGTGCTATAAGAGAGAGAGAGAGAGAGGTCAAATCCCGTTATTCAATTAGAGTAGTCCACGAGTTGATGTTGGGTGCTGTTGACAAGCTGTCTTCCTCTAGTCTATCACTTCAAAATTAGAAATTAGTAGCGCAGATAGCCCTCGAATTTCAGCAAAAAACAACATTTATATTTACGCGGTTTACTCCGAGCTAAACTGACCACTGCAGAGTTCATGATACATAAACCACTCCATTTTTAATAACTAATACAAAGTAGTTCTTATCAATGTCACCATGAGCCTTTCTATGCATAAATACGAACAATACTTGTTGCAGGATGTATAAAATATCAAAAAGTCGCGTCATTGATCCATTTAACAGAAATGTTTCTAATTGTTATGTACTATTACTTGGTTTGATACACAGTGCTTTGAAAAAGTATTCACCCCCTAAAAATAATGTCACATTTTGATGAAATACAAATAATGTAAAATTTTTTTTAATGAACTTTTTTTTATTCAAAACTCTAATGATCAGACTTAACACTGTTATGTGTGATGTAGGTTGAATGTCAGCAAAACCTGCAAAGAAAATATATAAAGTGAAGTTGATGATTGCATAAGTATTCAGCCCCCTAAGTCAGTACTTGGTGAAAGAACCTTTGGCAGCAATTACTGTTGTGAGTCTTTTTGGACAGGTCTCTACCAGTTTTGCACAATAGGATGGTGTAATGTTTGCCCATTCTTCTTAGCAAAATTGCTCCAATTGTCACAAGTTCGTTGGAGATCGTTGATGGACTGCAATCTTTAAGTCTCGCCATAAATTATCTATTGGATTCAAGTTAGGACTTTAACAGGCCACTCCAGGACATTACCTTTCTTCTTTTGAAACCACTTCAGTGTGACTTTGGTATGTGCTCCGGGCCAGTGTCCTGATGAAATGTGAGTTTTACATTCATACTAACTCAAGCAGGATTGGCCTGTACTTTGCACCATTTATCTTCTCCTCAATCTTGACAAGCTTCCCAATCCCTACTGATGAGAAGCATCCCCATAACATGATGCTGCCATTAACATTCTTGACAGCTGGGATGGTGTTGACTGGGTGATGTGCTCTGTTGGGCTTGTGCCGGACGTAATGCTTTGAATTTAGACCAGAACACTAAATTTTTGTCTCGTCTGACCACAAAATCTTCTGCCACATGTCTGCAGTATCATTTACATGCTTTGTCGCAAACACCATTCGAAATGTAAGATGATTCTCATTCAAAAATATCTTCTTTCTTGCTACTCGCCCATACAGGCCAGCTTTTTGTAGGGACCGGTATATTGGTGATGTATGAATACTGACTCCCATCTCAGACATGGAACTTTGCAAATCTTTCAAAGTAACTGTTGGCTTCACAGTGGCATTCCTAACCAGTTTTCTGCTTGCCCGGCTGCATAGTTTGGAAGGTCGCCCTGATCTGGTTGGTATGAAGGACATTCCACTTCTTAATGACGGACATCACCGTGCTCAAAGAGATAATTACCTGGGATACCGACTTGTTGCAGGTCTTCTTCCTAATTGTCCTTGTGTCCATGTTGATCTACATTAATTTGCCTTCCAATGTCATTAATTACAAGGGATATCCCCGTCTTAGAAGTTTTAAATATCCGATCTGAACACATCTCTTTATCTGAGTGCACGAATATTTCGAAAAGAGTTGTTACATACTCTCCCCCAAAAGCGACCAATTTCCGGTGGCATGACTCTACCTATGAAGCACCAAACAATTTGAAAATATAGTTCTAGTACATTCTGTTCCATCGCCACTTTATGTCTACTGTGGTTCTCGCGGGATTTGCTGATTTGCATATTTCAAATATTTTTAGTGTGACGTACTGAATGCTTGAATTGTGAAATTATAGAATCCAATGAAATTAGCAGACAATATGGGTAAAACTTAAAGACCAAGGTTAAAAAAATAATAATAATCATACAGCAAAACATTTTAAACAAAAGAAAAAAGCTTGAGTGCTTTCTGAGGCTGATCTTTTTTCAACCTAATGAAATAATTTAAATCACAAAAATATACTTTAATGGGGAAAAAGTTTTACAGTTTTTTTTCAGAAAGTTTGAGGCTATCGCTTGTTTCCACAAATTTCGATTATAAAGTGATGTACGGAGATAAGCTTCATTTTGTTTTTTTTTATAAAGTTCATTCTTAGAAGGTCTACGACTGTATCTGCTTGCGATACAATAGACAAGAATAAAAATTAGCCAAAAAAAAAATTAAAAGAGGGTTAGTAACACCAGTGAAGTAACTTTTTGAAACCTTATTCTTGGGGTAATGAATTGCATATACATTAACATTATATTTAAAAAAAATGTTCTTAAAATTGGAATAGCTTATTTTCTTATTCTTCTTTCATTCTCGAAAATAGATGAAAACACACATTTATAGGCGATTCTGTATTCTTTAAATTAAAGTTAACTATGTTTTTATATATAAGGCTTATTGTAGGCCTCCGAACTGTTCATTAATGGTACAATGCTTTTATTGTACCTTATCGTTGCTTTCTTTATTCATTTACTTCATGAGAAAAGTAATTTTCTTGTAGATGGTTCACTGCTTAAAATCAACTTTAGTTAATTCGGTGTAGGTCGAAGTTAATATTAAATGTAAGTGATCTAAGATGAAAGCGGAAACACAATACTACCCGTTCTTATCTAATTGTGATGGCAGTGAATGTAGTGATTTTATGTAACTGTATATTGAAAATACTAGTCGAATGCGTCAATTCACTAACTTGGGCAATTTCTGTCCATCGTAGCAAGGTAACGGAACCTAATTGTATTTGGATGTCATTTTCCTGAACCAGACAAGTTGGAAGTCTTAAGAGTCCTTCTCTGAACCTCTAAATATTTACATGAATAAGTATTAGGCCGCTTTTTCTCATGTTTGCAAACTTTCAAGTTTATGAGCTGTATCAAAATGGCGTGTTTAGGTGAGAGTCTGAATCATACGAATTGTTGTTGTTTATCATGTCCATCGAAATACATGACTGTGATGGAAGAAGAAGCTCGTTTCGCTGGAAAGGCTGAATCATGCATGTACTGGTATTCGTATTTAAAACGTACTTTCTAATTGTTGTTTATCATGTACACCGAAAGACATGACTGTGTTGGAAAGAGAAGCTCGTTTCGCTAGAAAGGTTGAATCATGGACTAGTATTCGTATTTAAAACGTACTTTCTAATTGTTGTTTATCATGTACACCGAAAGACATGAATGTGGTGGAAAAGGAAGCTCGTTTCGCTGGAAAGGCTGAATCATGGACTGGTATTTAAAACGTAGTTTCTAAGAATCGTATTATTGTGATCTGAAAATAACACATGAACATTTCAAGCAACATTCACATATTTCATGCTATTGTAAATATAGTAAAGCCAACACGTTTGAATTATAAATATTGGAATATTTACCGTTATCTCAACTCCTTATTACTGTTTTTCAGGTTCCTTTATCGTGTTTTTTTTTTAATGGGTGCATTTTCAAATTTGTGTACGTTGTTGAAGAGGACAGTCAAAACGGAATTTACTTCTTCATTTGTAGAGAATTAGGTGATACCGTAGTAAGTCAGTAAGTTAAAATTCGATTAATCACGAAATCATAGAATAAAAAATAAATAATCTGATACTAGATAAACTCACGTCGAATACGTTATCACCACAGTATATATGCTTCTACAAACTTACATAATACATCGTTGAGACTAATAATGGCTGGAGACGGCTTGAATGGGTAATGAAGAAAAACCTGATGATGACAAAACCTTGTCGAAACGTTGTACATTTGCTGTTATATTAAAGTTTTTCTTCATTACCCATTCAAGCCGTCTCCAGCC